AGCTTTGGTCTATAAAAAGAAGTCTCATATATGTTTTCCCCTTATCAAGATGAGTCAGTGCTTTATGGAGGGCTGTAGCGATAGAATCCTCAGTGGACCTGTTTTCCCTATAGGCATACTGGTGCTGGTCAAAGTTGAGGGGGAGTGCAGATTTAACATGCTTTATCACCAGCCTCTCAAAGCACTTGGCGACAATGGGAGTGAGCGCCACAGGTCTATAATCGTTCAAAGTGCCAATGTGGCTTTGCTTGGGCACTGGAATGATAGTTGTTGTTTTGAAGCAGGTCGGTTCAGTTGCTATGGCCATAGACATATTAAAGATGTCTGCAAAGACATCTGCTAGTTGATGGGCACATTCTCTGAACACTCTTCCCGGAATCGCGTCAGGTCCCTCGGCCTTCCTAGTGTTCACAGACCTAAAAGTGCATCTCACTTCCTCTGCTGTTACCTTTAGTGTGAGGTGTGTATCAGCGAGGGGAGGAGCGGCTCCGTTATCTGGTCCAGATGTTTCAAAACGGGCATAGAAACGGTTTAGCTCCTCTACCAAGGAGGCATTGGAGTTCGTTGGTGATTCCCGGCTGCTCTTGTAGTTGGTGATTTGTTGTATACCTCTCCACATCTGTGTTGGGTCATTGTTGGTGAAGTAGCCCTCAATCTTTTCCTTATACACAGTTTTTGCCTGCTTGATGCCCTTTTTCAAGTTATGCCTGGCTGTGCTATATAATACTCTATCCCCAGATTTAAAAGCTGTGTTACGCTCCCTCAGAAGGGCACATACCTCCGCAGTCATCCATGGTTTCTTGTTAGGGTGAGTTCTGATGTGTGTGTTGGTAGTAATGTTTTCAACACAGGTTCTAATGTAACAAAGAACAGTAAAGGCATACACATTCACATTCTGATTAGAAAACAAGGTCCAGTTTGTTCGTTCAAAGGCAATCTTGTAGCTGTGCAGATGCATCCTCAGGCCACCTCTTAATATTTCTAACGATAGGTTTCTGCTTTTTAATAAAAGGGCGACACGCTGGAATCAGTGATAGTGACTGGTGATCAGACTGGCCCAGTTGTGCAAGGGGAAAGGCTCTGTATCCCTTTTTAATATTAGAGTATACACAGTCCAGAGTGTTAATCCCTCGTGTTGCACACTTGACATGTTTATCAAAGCTGGGCAACACAGTTTTAAGGTTAACATGATTAAAATCCCCAGCCACGATAAAAATGCCCTCAGGGAAATTGTTTTGCTGTCTGTCAATAGCTGCTAGCACTTGGCCTAGCGCTAAATTAGCGTTGGCATCTGGTGGAATGTAGACCGCTGTTACCACAGCAACAGTGAATTCGCGGGGTAGGTAGAAAGGTCTGCACTTAACTGCTAGCAGCTCCAGGTCAGGTGAGCAGTGCTTATTAATAACAGTAGAATTTGTACACCAGTCTTCGTTCACATATATGCAAAGTCCGCCTCCACGGCTCTTACCAGAGTCCCCTGTTCTGTCGCTTCGATGTAATGAGCGACCCGTTAGCTCAACTGCTGCGTCTGGGATGCCCGGGTGTAGCCAGCTTTCAGTTATAATTATCACAGAGCTATCTCATAAAGTTGACCGGCTTGCCATGTTTAGCTGCAATTCGTCCATCTTATTCCCAAGTGATCGGGCATTCGCAACGAAAAGACTAGGCAAAGGTGGTCTGTTTGGAGCCCTCTTTAGCCTAGCCAAGACGCCTGCTCTGCAGCCCCGCTTTTGTTTACGTTCCCTCCTCCGTCTCCGGCGCTTGTCACTCAGTGAAGCAATCCATGGAGACGCCGGTGCTCTGGCTATTCCCGATGGAATGCTATGCGAGTGTTGGAAGGCACTCGTTATAGGTACCTTGCATGTTCTCCCAATATGCAATAGTTCCTCTTTGGTGTAAAAGATATATGGTTTACCCCAGCTGGTCTTAAAAACAAAAAATAACACAAACAGCAGCCACATACAGCATTGTTTTAAGGAGCACTGAGCCGCTGCGACTATGCGCGCCGCCATCTTGATGTTGACGGAGATGCCAGATAGGCCGTGGGCAAACGGTGGGAGCAGACTTATTCATGCTGAAGGGCAAGACATACCTACTCGTAGTAGATTACTTCTCAAGGTATGTGGAAATTGAGCTGTTGTCACCCACAAGGTCTACAGATGTGGTGGTGTACCTGAAATCCATTTTTTCTCGTCATGGAATTTGTAAAGTTCTTAGAAGTGACAATGGGCCACAGTTCTTTGGTAGCCATTTTAAAGCCTTTGCAGCAGAGTATGGCTTTGTGCATGTTACAAGCAGCCCCAAGTTTCCCCAGAGCAATGGGGAGGCGGAACGCGCTGTACAAACTATGAAAAACCTACTAACAAAGGCATCAGACCCATATCTAGCGTTGTTGGCTTACAGAGCAACCCCTCTACAGAATGGCTATAGTCCAGCGGAGCTGTTGATGGGGCGCCACCTCCGCACTACTGTTCCTGCCCTTCCAGCCCTGCTGACTCCAGTTTTGCCTGACTACAACGCGCTGGAGGCTAAAGAAAGGGAGAAGAGGAGGAACGATGCAAAATACTTCAACAAGAGACACGGCGCGAGAAACCTGGAGCCGTTAGTCCCTGGAGAGGATGTGTGGATCACTGATTCAAGAGTTCAGGGCACAGTGATATCTGCACACACCACCCCTCGCTCATATATTGTCCAGGTGCCTCAGGGCACGTTGAGGAGGAACCGGCATCACTTGGTGTCACTGCAGACCAACGGTGGGGTGGTTGATGTTGATAAGTCACCGAAGGAAAAAAATGCACCAGATGCACCAGAGCTAACATCACCAGAACCACCACAGAGAGCAGAGAGGGTCCAGAGACTGTGCGGACCAGATGTGGGAGAGAGGTTAAAAAGCCGCAGAGACTTGATTTGTGATTTATTGACTGGTTGTTAGAGAGGGACAGGTCTTCCAGCAAAAGGGCAGAATAAACCCCTTAAGACCTGCAGAGACAAAGGTAGTCTACCCTTTGTTCTCAAAGAAAGGGAGATGTGGTATTTTGGAATAATAGTGTAAAAGAATGCTTGTATTTTGAAAATAAAAGGGCTGTTCCGGGGCTCGCCGGATGTTATGTGCTGATGGCTAAATAAAGACCAGCTCCAAGTACGTCGTTGTACGAACCTTATTTGTTTCTTTACAAAGAACGTGACACACTCGAGGACAGATCCGTGGTCGAGGGCGAAGCAGAGGAGGTTGTGCAAGAGGCCGTGCTATTAGGGTCCAAGGAAGTAGAGGCCGAGGATGGGGTAATTGAAGTGCAGGGCAAGGAGCACTTTTTAGACAAGAGGACCTGCGTCGAGTTTTGCATCTTCAAGCTCAAACAAGGGCATGCGAACAGGTACGATCTAGATACGCGCAAGTGGGCAGGTCCTGTGTGGCAAAAGGGTGGTTGCCATGGTTGCGAGAGAGTGACAGTCGCCTAAGCCAATCCGTTGTTTCGTCCCGGTTCGAAATAATGAGCTGTGTTTAGTGCAGATTAAACGGTCTAGAGTCACTCGATTTTTATACTCTTTTTTTCAGAGTACTTAGATTTTAATTATGCATTGATATATATAGAAAGTTTAAACAAATTTGGAAAAAAGTTTTTATAAAATTTATACACTTTTTAAAATTTTTATACACTACCTTTAATTGTGTTTTGGTAAAGCTGCAAGTCACCTGTCCTACCTAGTCCTGCATGCAATATTTTGCACAAGTTCTAATTTCTTTAAACTTTGCAACAGAAGTGAATAGAGTGCATAGCATGACCACAATAGACACATTTATGGGAAATACCATAGGTTAAAAATAAAATAAACTACCATTATCAATATACAACACCCTGTAATACTCACAGGTTGCTTTACTGCTGCAAATAACAATATCAGTGACTCTTTGATTGAACTCTGTTCACTGTAATTTGTGGTGTTGGGCCTTTTCAAATCTTATGTTAAGTGTAACTCAGAGTACTGTATAGTGACAACAGACATGAGGATACAAAATGGACACTCGTACAGTATCTAGCTTGATGAAGATATAGTCAAAGCTTTTAAAGGTAAACTAAGAAATCAACAAATTCTAATACATATGCAAATTATAATACATGTATTTAAACATGGATACAAAAATGTTAGTTAATCATTGGTTCATTTGATATAATTCTTCTTCCCTTTCACAGATCCTGTGATAAAGCAGTCTTCAAATACTACAGTGTCTGAAACTCAAGACTTCCGTGGACTCAAAAGCCGTCCGAAACTCAAGTGACCGTCCATTTGAAGATGAAGATCTGACATTTAAACTCTCCTGTTTCTTTTGTTCAGCCATTTGCAGGCTTAAGTTTGTAAATAATGCACTATTCACTTCTGCACTTTGTTTTTCAGTAAAATGTATTTCTTTTTTCAGTAAATTGCATTGTAATGCTTATTTATTCAGTGATGTAGTATTCATAGCTACGTTTCAGTAATACAGGTATAACTGAAATGTTCTACAAACAATTTATAAAAATAGCTCTGCCATAGCATTACTCTGGTATTTAATTTATTGTAATGTATTTTGGCCAAGAGATTATATATGCTGCTGTACTTTTGCAATGTACACAAAAACTATGGTATATTAAAGTTTGTATTAACATATTTAATCATTTTTACACTTTTAATATACCATTTTAAATACAGAAAAAAAACACCTTCATAATAAACTAGTAGTGCTAATACATTTAAATGTTCTTGAAGCACATTTGAACTAAACTTTAAATATATTCTAAATGTAGTTTAAGAAATTAACACAATTTAATATTCAAATTGTAAATAGCTTAAAATGTATCTTAAGTATATTTTGAAATAGACTTAATACTTAATGTTGTTAATATATTATCGAGTATATTATCAAAATAATAAATTTTATACGCACTTAGTATAGTATAATTTAAATATATTAAGTAGGCCTATGTCCAAAAAAGCATCATTTAAATATATTTTCTTTTCACCTTGTACTGTTGGTTGGGGTTCCATTGGTATTTGTATTGTATATGGGTTATCTCCCTCTTTGGGTTTGTGGGCAACCTGTATTTTCTGACACTGGGGCTTGGTGACCACCATTGATGTAAGCGGTGTGACAAACTTGTACTTCAGAGAAAGTTCAAGGACTTCTTTCATTGCACTGTTTTTTTCCAGGCCTTTCAGAAGCACTCTGAAATACAGAAAAATCCACAAATAAAGATTCAGTAATACTATAATTCATACATATAGGCCTACAGAATCAGTAAGAAATGTGTATATTTACTCTTTCCCCAGTAGCTCCTTTACTGTAAGGAAGGCCCACAATCTTTCAATAATGTTGTCTTCAGGTCTGTCACTGTTTTTCACTATAGGTACACTAGTATAATATACAATTTTAGATTTATTCTGGAAAATAGAAAATAAAGGTCAGAAGTTACAATTTTGAGGGTCTAGTTCAGGGTTCCTAAAATTCGGTCCTTGAGGGCCCCTGCCCTTCAGAGTTTAGTTCCAACCCTAATCAAACACATCTGAACTAGATAATAAAGATCTTCAGAGATACTAGCAAAATTGCAGATAGGTGAGTTTGATTCAGGGTCTGAACTAAACTCTGCAGGACAGTGGCCCTCCGGGGCCAGGTTTGAAGAACCTTGATCTAGCGCGTTGAACACTTTAAGAGGTTTTACGCACACACAAAAATGACAATACGTGTCATTATTTACTCACATTCCAAACCTGTGTTCTGATGTTTTTTCCATTGAACACTAAAGGAGAATTTTTTAAGAATATTCTCATCATGAATATAAGTGAATAACAATATTTTTTTATTATTATTATTATTATTATTATTATTATTATTATTTTATTAACGAGTTGGAAAGACATGAGCATGAGTAAATAATTAAAGAATTTGTGGACAAACTATTCCTTTAAAATGTTGGTCTGTAAGTTAGACTTGCGTTTAAAGTGATCAGGGCCCAGTTCCCCGATAACGCTCACTCTTGGCGCACTAAGAAGACTTCTTCTTACAAAAGATACCTTACCAAAGTTGTTTATGTTCCTAAGTCTGTTCCCCAAAGTGTCCCTTAGGAAACTTCTTAACACGCTGCCTCTTACGTTCGACATTACAAAGGCACTGTCCCAAGTGAAGGTGCTGAATTAGTTGGCATCGATTGCACAGAAATCGATTTTCCACTTCATGCGAAGGTGCATTATGGCGTTAAAGGTGCAATGCGTAAACATTTTTAGAATTTATTGACAGAAATGCAATATGACATCCATAACTGTTAACATAATGTTTTCATTGGTTTATAAAGATCTTACTTAATAAACTGTAATGTTTTTATAACCTTAGAATGAGACATTTTAATCTACATAACCGCGGGCACCCCCTTAAGGTTGACATATTGTGTCATCATGTTTCTACCGTAGCCAAATGCGCACACACAGCGCTACAGAGCGCGTTTCGTTACTACCTTGAAAGAGAAGCAGCAGAAAGCTAGAAGCTAGCCCATAGACACCGTGAGTAGTGACTTTTCCCTTGTCAGTGGTGTAAAATATGCAGTTGGATTGTTTCATGTAACTTAGTAACTTCTCCCTCGCTGTGTTGTTCATGTAACTTCTCCCTCGCTGTGTTATGGCTTTGCTGTGTGGGGACACATGTGCTGGTTACGTTCGTGAGACAGCTAATTAGTAGTGATTAGTCACTAACCGTAAGACAGTATGTTACAGGAATCACCAACCCGTCGATCGCCGTCGACAAGTTGATCTTGGAAGCATTTTAAGTCGATCGTGAAGAGTTTTCAAAATCAGGGAAAAAAGCCTATTGTGTGTAGTAAATGGTGTCTAGGGGATGCGAAAGCACGTACACTGTTACAATCATGTCATTTTTGCAGGATGCGTCGAGTTTAAACAAGGCTTAACGCTTTGACCAGCTCAGCCACAGTAACAGCTCATATTAGCCAGCTAAACTTTTACTACCCTGTTAGAAGAAATATATAGTTGCATAGTTCCCTTTCGAGGGAACTCAACATTGCGTCGATAAATCAATACTTTAGGGACGCTCCTTTGGTGTGCGCCTCTGAAGTATGAATGAAACTAATCTAATCTTGATTGGTGTTGCGTCATGACGTAAAATGTGACGGCACATACATACACAACACATACCAGCTTTCGCTCTTCAGCAAGCGTTCTGTGTTGAAACTGTCTCTGTCTATTTGGTGTTGTTTGTCTGATTATTGAGAAAAGTATTGTGCGTGAGCAATTCACTAGATGTGTGCACCCCTGCCCTAGATACATCACGGGTGGGAACACACATCAACTCTGTGTGAATTGTTTGGGAGTGCAGCACGCACAAACAGTTCTCAAGGGGGCTGCTTGTGAACACTGTGAAGCACTGCCGATGAGAGTGTTGCGCTCCTGCTTGGCTATTTTTAAAGATGATGCCCAAGCTCGCGATCCCCGAGGTTCAGTTCCTGCGTCAGTTGAGGCGGCGCGGAGGCTTAGATCGTGGGGATCGCAAAAGGATCTTGCAGATGAGAACGAGACTGCCGAAGCACTTTCTCGTTCGTCATCTGCAGATTCAATAACGCTCACTCACGGTGCAGAAGCCCGCCCTGCGGCTTCTTATGCCCGTGACGAGTGCCCGGTGCTGGAATTATCCGCTTCTGAGGAAGTGGATGTTCTCAGCATCGGGAGCGAGGAACATGAGTTTAACTCGCCAGCTCATGTTCCCGCATACAAGGAGTTGGTAGAGGTTGTTACGCGTGCTGTGGCCAGACTCAACATCAGCTGGCCACAAGATAAGCAGGAAGATTCTCATCAAAGTAAATTAGATGAAAGATTTCTGCAGCACAGAAGGGGTTTGCCATTTTTCCCAGATCTTCATAAAGAGATCGCTAGATCCTGGGAAAAGCCCCACTCCTCTCGTATCTCACACAGTACATAATGCGACTATAGCGGGGTATGGCAAGATGCAGCAGATGGAGGAAGCCTTGGCGAGATATTTTTCTCCTGAAGCGGCATCTTTGCTTTAAACCCCGGCGCTGCCCCGCAAACCATGTAGAGAAACATCAGTATTGGTTTGCAGGGCATATATGGCGGCTGGTCGGGCTGGTGTGTCCCTGCATTCATTAGCTATTTTGCAGGTGTACCAGGCCTACCTCCTTAAGGATCTAGATGAGGGCGAGGGACCATATCACCTGCAGCAGTGGTGTAGTCTAGTTTTTTGTAGTGAGTATACTGTGATATACCAGCAGCTCCACCCCCCCCCCCACCCCCGCCGCTACCACCACCACCCATTTGCGAAAAATTTTCAAAACTTGTGTGATATTACTTTAAAGTTCTGTTTGAATTTGATTATTATTTTAAAAATTACATTTTACTATGCAATTTCTTTCATAATTCCATCGAGTTACTTTATTTATCTCTATAAACTGTTGTAAATTAAAGACATTTGAGCTTCTGTGTGTTTTAATAAACTATTATTAGTATTATTAGGCCTACTTGAAGTAGGCCTATACTCTACTGTGCAATAGTAATATATTTCTTTTATATTTTCTTCAAGTGATACAAAACGTTGATTTTGACAGGTTGCATGAAGCAGGCGTCATAGGATTTTGATCATCACTTAGGATTTTTTCTTAAAAAAAAAAAAGAAAAAAGGTAACACTTTAGTTTAGGATCTAATGCTCACTATTAACCAGTTTCATTACATGAAAAGGCAGGGTTTTATAATCACTGTTGTCCCAAATGTGAGGTAGGTTAGTCATGGGGGTTCAGGGTTTCCCTGAGAAAATGTCTCTGATCTACCTACATATGTGCATTTTAGGATGTTTTAAAGGCCAAAAAAAAAAAAAAAAAATAGATAACAGCTTTAAAACCATGTCAGTGGGCACTGGGCATCTCCTCATCAGCATCACCCTCTTTTTCTCTTTGTTTTTATCTTGCCCTGTCTCTTCCCCTCCTAAAGATGAGCTTTGACTTTTTCTCGGACACGTTTATTCACTGAAAGCTACTAAAGCTAGATAATTAAGTTTATTAAATGCATTCAAAACATAGGCTACACATTCATTATTGATCTTATGACTACAGGGCCGTAGACAGGGCTTTATAATCAAAGAGGTCCTAAATTTAAGGTTGGTGCTTCAATTTTTTTTAATTTCTCTGATATGCATTTCAAGACCAAAAAAAGAATAAGAAATAGCTTTAAAACCATGTCAGTGGGCAGTACATTCTCTTCCCCTCCGAAGGCTGCATGAGCTTTTTTAATGTACTAAAGGCTAAATTTTTTTATTATATTCTCAATATGTACACATTCATTATTACTCTTGTGGCTAAAATGATGAAAACGGCTTTGTTAATGTTTCTTCCCCTCGCAATGACAGTAAACTATTAAATTGCATGAGTCACGTTACAGGCCTATTTATTTCGGTTCAAAATGGCGAAATTAGACAAAACTATATTAGTTTGCCTGGTTATTTTTTTTTGTCATTCGTTTAACATTTATGACCTAAAAAAATGTAAAATAAGATGTAAGTGGCTAACCTTCATATCTCGCACTTGCCCGTAAACTGAAGCGTCGTGTCGCTCTGCTGAAATTCGCGCTCAGCGTCTGTGAACATAAGCCCGCCTACTTTGATTTGATTTGTCATCTCAAATATTCTGACATTGACGAGCAGTGACAGACCAATGAGGCTCAGATGAATGAACACACACACACACACACACACTGTCCTCTCTTTTTGACGTGCTCTCTGCTCGCGCGCTGAATCTGATAACAGAACTTAAGGGAACACGAAATTCTGTCGCCTACGTTTAGGGGGGCTGATGTCGTAGGAAATGTATTTCACAAAACGATGTTGTTACGAATCCTCACGCTTTTTAAAGTGGGCATACGGAGATCTTTGACATTTCCTAGTGGGCATACGCAAATCCTTGACATTTTCTAGTGGGTATACGGCGTATACCTGCGTATCACGTAGAATACACCACTGACCTGCAGATATCTCGGAATTGAGAAAGGCCACAGATCTGTCTCTCCGGGCCACTAAAGAAATAGCACGCTCCATCGGCCATTCCATGGCAGCTATGGTGGCCACGGAGAGACATCTGTGGCTTAATCTTTCTGGTATTAAAGACAAGGATAGATCTTTCCTAATGGACACGGCGCTTTCGCCTTCTGGCCTGTTCTGCGACGCAGTATCAACTGTCGTCGACAGGTTCCAGGAGGCATAGAAACAAGCGGCGGCGTTCCAGCAGTATCTCCCTCGCCGCATTAAATCTTTTAGGAGGGCTAGTCCCAGTGGCCAGCCTCAGCCGTCAACCAGCTCCTCATATAGGCAAGAGCAGAAGGAGAGCGTTGCCTCTAGAGCCCCTCCTCCGGGAGCCTGGCAACAGAGGAAACGCTC